GGATCTTATCTATGCACAATCAGCTTGTAACACTCCAAAGAGAAAGGAAAACTTGAAATCGCATCATATGACCCCTTTAAAGTATTTTTTAAACATTTTTGCAAATTTAGAAAATGTCCAAATGCTTCAGGGTTCACTAACAATGAGTAATTTGATAATGATGGTAAACTGTGAAGTTTCACCTATTTAAGAATTAATATATATATACAGTGGGTACGGAAAGTATTCAGACCCCCTTACATTTTTCACTCTTTGTTATATTGCAGCCATTTGCTAAAATCATTTAAGTTCAGAATGCTTTATTGAGTTAGCAAAATGCAATAATAAATAAATGATAAATAAATATAATAAAAATAAATAAATTACAAAATAATTAAAACATTTTATGAAAATATTTGTATGAAAATAAGAAACTAAGCTCAAACGTTTGTATTAGATTTTATCCCCTGCTTTAAATTAATAAATATTCTTTTAGGGTCCGGACCTTTTTTGTACTTCATGAAAATAAATGTCAATGCAAAATATTCAAACAGGCTTCGTTTTCCTAATGCAAAATATAATTTCTTACTTTTTCTGTTGATTTTGTGGGTGAAATGTGACCTCTGTGAGATTCACTCCAGTTTGAGGACAGAGAAAGTGACAAAAAAGGCAGGAGAATATAATTATCCCCTGCTTTAAATTAATAAATATTCTTTTAGGGTCCGGACCTTTTTTGTACTTCATGAAAATAAATGTCAATGCAAAATATTCAAATAGGCTTCGTTTTCCTAATGCAAAATATAATTTCTTACTTTTTCTGTTGATTTTGTGGGTGAAATGTGACCTCTGTGAGATTCACTCCAGTTTGAGGACAGAGAAAGTGACAAAAAAGGCAGGAGAATATAACAAAAAAAACATGAAAACAATTTAAAAAAATGTTTTTATCATTTGCTTCTGCTGATCTGAGTGCGATTTAAAAGGCTCTTGATGTCCACAGCAGTTTATGAGATCCTTTTGCAAACCTAAAAGGTGCGTCCATCCTATAAATACACACACGCATACATGTCTTTGAGTGTCTGTTATCCAGTGCATGGCAAGTTCAGCCGTCCATGCATTAATTATTAATGCGTTGTTCTATAAGCTCAGCAGCTTGTCTGCTTCGGGGTAAGTGGGATACTTCACCGTCTCGATCTTCTCCTTGACTTTATAGGACGGATAGAGGCCGGTGCGTCCTAGTTTGCGGTTGACCCCTTTAGAGTAGCCGTCCCAGTGGTTTCCGGCCACTCCAATGACGTCTCCGGGCTCCAGTGGGATGTCCTCCGCCGTGCGCGCCTGGTGTGGGTAGATGGCGATTTGGTTGTGCGCGTTCTGTCCACCGAAGTAGTAGATGTCGTCCAAAGAGCGGAAAAAAGCAGAGGCATCCGGATGAAGAGTCTGCATGATCTCATATGCCACACGACACACCTGATAGAACCAGAAGAACAAAGTCAGAATTCTGTTGGGTGGGAGAAAACAAAAAGTGATAAAGTAAAACGGCAATTCTTTACAATAAAGTTAACATTAGTTAATGCATTAGTACGAAGCCCCCGACCCACATATATGTATGTAAAAAAAATTGTTTTCTCTCATTTTAGTTTATCTTGTTTCTGAGTCATCTTGTTTTAAATGAATTAGTCTTTAATTAAATTTGTTCAACGTGGCCACGATTGACTAAAACGAGGGAACAAATTATTAATTTACTGTATTACCACAATAAATATATTTCTATATGCATGTCATGTGCAGGGCTCTATAAATATGAACTAACAATAGCAATAATTTTTTTTTTACCAGCATTTATTGTTGTGTTAGTAATAGGGATGCATGATATTGGATTTTTACCGATATCCGATACTCCGATATTTTTCAACACATTTTGGCCGATAGCCGATGCCGATATTTTCCCTTTTGTTTGGAAACAACACCAAGTCTCTCCTGTGTGGAAATTATAAGCTAATTATTTTTAATTTTGGTTAGTTTTTAACAAGAACTTATTTGTTAGAATTAAATAATAATGAAGTTATTTTATAATAACAGTACATTGAAGCTTTGAAAATAACTATAAATAAACTATATATTAATTGCAGCATTTTTTTCCCTCAGAAAGATGCAGTATTAACCTTAACATTTTATTTTAAGATTTAAGATTTGTAGATGGTCTAAAGCAAAAGAGTTTTAAAAATTCAGAAAATCTTTTAGAGATCATAATTTGTTTAAAAAACGTATCATATTACACATTAATTAATAAATCAGTATATATAGAATTATTAATTTACAAGTGTCATGTTTGTGATTTTTTTTTATTCGTGTAAGCTATAGCTTCTGACCTTTAAATCAAAACATACTCATGTTTTATGACATCAATTACTGCTTTATTTGATCAGAAACACAGTCTAAATGTTATTTGTGTATTTTACTTTAATTTAATTAGAAGTAGGCCAACAGCGCCCCCTATGGAATAAAAACTCCTTACCGCATGGGGCATTAGGACCCGCGGGAGGCTGCCGCTGCTGCAGTGAATCCAATCCCTATTCAGGCAAAACTTTGCTTCAAGAATGAGCCAAACTGTTGACGCGATCTAATCGCTACACACCCTGAGCACATGTGAGTTAATGTATTCCTCTCATCGGCAAGACATATCGGCATAATTTTTCATATCCGATGCCGATACATTCAAAGCCATTATCGGCCGATTCCGATATCGGTCCGATAATATCTTGCATCCCTAGTTAGTAACAATAATTGTCTACCATTACTGCGATTACAAACTGATGATTTTAAAATGACAAAAAATATTGTTTATAAATGGACCTTTATGAATGAACATGAGGCCTGTTTTAAGACCATTATAACTCTTTCTGCATTTTGACATTATTTTAATAACAAAGCATATTTTCTCTGCCTCAATACAGGGCTATTATGGTTAACTAAAACTGAAATTAAAACCATAAAAAAGTAATTTCTTGAAATGAAATAAACGTTAAATATAAAAAATATAAAATATAAAAAAACGTTTTATTTCAGCTAATTCCCAAGGCAACATTTTTATTTGTTTTAATTTAGTTTAACTTAACTTGATGTACTGAAATAACAAACTAAATCTAAAATAAAAATGATATAAAAACTAATATAGACACACACACCCATAAACAAAAACTTCAAAAAAGAAAAAAACAAAGTGTTAAAAACAAACAAAAAAGAGATGTAAAATATAAAAACTAAAAACTGATTTAAAAACTAACAGTATTTCAGTGATACTGAAACAACACTGCATTATTTTTAATGACTTTATGTAGTTACTTGTATGTTTAATAGATGAATTATTGACAGAAGGAGAAAAACAAAGTCAGAAAACCATTAGATTAACATTTAGATTAACAAATAATGTAGAAATAGTGTTTACTGTTCGTTCATGTTTACTAGTGCACTTAATGTTAACAAATGAATCCTTATTGTGTAAAATGTTACCGATAAAATAAACAGTTATTGATGTACCTGTGAGGAGAAGGTGCAAACCAGGAAGTCAGTCTGGGACAGGAAGTGGATGTCCAGGATGACGCCTCTGAGTGAATTCTCAGTGTATCGGTTATGTAAACTCGCTGACCAAGAGATGGAGTTATCACTGATGAACTCATAGTCTGTGTACCTGAAAAACACAGAATACTGGATTTAATTTTTACAATTTTAGATCTAATATTACATTTTTTATAATTAATTTAAGGTGTGACCATGAATTTTTACTTGAACGTGAAACACAACTACATTTTCACATCATAGAAGACAATCTGTAATTTAAATGGTAGGAGAAAACTGGTCAATTTTGAGTCTTCACTTTTTTGGCTTCCAAGTTTAAAATCTTCATTGCGTCTTTGATGTTGACAAAGAAGATTTTTTTAACCTGGAAGATGAAAACTGCAAAATACATTTAGTAAATAAATTCCTTATCAGATACATGTGTTTTATCATTATATAATTTTAATAAAATGTAACAATTGCAATTATACATTTTAATTTATATATATATAATTATAATCAAACCAATTTCAAACAAATACATAAAAAAATTGGAAACTATAAATACATTTAATTTTTCATGACAATCTTAAAAATAAATGGCAAACTATAATAAAATGTTCATTTTCATGAAATGTTGATGACTGCTGTGCATTAACTTCTAGCTATCACTGGATATATGTGTGTTTGTGTAATGTAGTGTGAGCTTGAATATATTTGTTAAATTTGCTGAAAGCAGCGGTAAATTGCAGAATGCATTTGAGGAAAGCTTTGAGGCTCTTAACTGAGAGCAAAACAAAACCTACTTGATCAGTAGCCGTTGTTCTGGAGTTTGTCTCCCATCTTTCCCTGAACTTTTTTCGGTTTGTTGTAACATTTTTCAAAACTGTTGTTTCATGACCCTTTAGGACTCATCATAACTCACTTGACTTTTGCCTCCTGTAACAGCGAGGGGTCGTCGGTGGCCAAATACACTCGTTTTTTATCCACGTGGCCGCGTTGAGCCATGTACTGGAATTGTTCCTCCACATGGACCATGTACTCCTCTATGGGGTGAAATGCGGCCTCCGTCCCAACTTTATCTGTCCGTCTGACATGGACGCTGTAAGAAAAACTGGATTTATCTGCTTCTTTTTATAGAAACCATTGGGATTTTCCCCTCATTTGTTATCTGATAGGTCATAAGTAAGTTTTCTTCATCGTAGTTTGTAGTAGCTATGTTGATTTGCTCAGTTGAGTTTTAGTAAAGTGAGAAGGCCAGTGTAAAGAGTTTAACCTGCTTTGCATGATCCATTTGGTGCCTCACTGGAAATCCTATATTGAACCGTAATGCAAACATTAGAGCACAATGCTAGCAATGCCAAGGTCATGGATTCAACTCCCAGGAAATGCATGAACTGATGAAATGTGTACCTTGAATGCGATGTAGGTCACCTTGGATAAAAGCACCTCCCAAATGCATTGACTTATACATTTATGCACTTAAATAAAGTGATACAAACTATTTATGAATTTATGCATTTATTTTTGGTTTGCTAAATATATTATGCATTCCGTATTTAAGCACTTATCAAACCCAAACATAAGTTGGGAATTTGAACAGTTCATGCATTCCCTGGGAAACAAACCCATGACCTTGGCGTTGCTAGAGCTGTACTTTACTGTTTGAGCTACTTATGTAGTCTTAACCATGAAAATATGTAAATTAAAGGCATTTTTAATGATTCATATCACATCTCATGTAATGCAACCAAAATAAACACTTGTCTTTTGCATCATGCATTTTCCAAGGTTGGCATTCTAACCTTTTTTAATCATAACATGACATGACTTAGCTGGTGACAAATTTTACAAAAAAAAAAGAAAAAGATCCAAAAACTATTTGTCCATGCTGCCCTTTTGCATACAGTGAAAAGTGATGGATGCTGACAAGCTCCAAAAATGCATTAAAAGTAAAAAATAAAATAAAATATATATATATATAGGTGCATCTCAATAAATGAGAATGTCGTGGAAAAGTGAATTTATTTCAGTAATTCAACTCAAATTGTGAAACTCGTGTATTAAATAAATTCAATGCACACAGACTGAAGTAGTTTAAGTCTTTGGTTCTTTTAATTGTGATGATTTTGGCTCACATTTAACAAAAGCCCACCAATTCACTATCTCAACAAATTAGAATATGGTGACATGCCAATCAGCTAATCAACTCAAAACACCTGCAAAGGTTTCCTGAGCCTTCAAAATGGTCTCTCAGTTTGGTTCACTAGGCTACACAATCATGGGGAAGACTGCTGATCTGACAGTTGTCCAGAAGACAATCATTAACACCCTTCACAAGGAGGATAAGCCACAAACATTCATTGCCAAAGAAGCTGGCTGTTCACAGAGTGCTGTATCCAAGCATGTTAACAATGAAGAACGATTAATCGCATCCAAAAGAAAAGTTTTTGTTTACATAATATATGTGTGTGTGTGCTGTGTATATTTAATATGTCTATATAAATACACACATACATGTAATTTTATTTATGCTAATTGCATTTAGGCTTCAAAATAGAAGTTGTGTTTGTGGAAATATGATGAACAAAATGTGTAGAAATCATAAACTTTTGTTGGTCTCTGAGCTTATTTTTTGCACCAATCCAAATCCAATCTTTCAGAAACAGGTGCAACACAGCAGAAATCAAGTACTTATTCACCAAACACATCAGTAATTGTCTATCTCTCTCTTTGCAGCTGATCTCCATGCTTCACTATAGACTTACTCTATTATATTATTTGGGTTATTACATTTCACAGTGCTGTCAAGAGACAATGGTGCTTCCTATGGGGCCGCAATCATTTCATTCTCATTTATTCTCATTAATTTCATCGTGATTGTGAGTCATGTTCACTCTTGTTATCGTGTGCCATCTTTATCTCGCAGTGTTTTATCAGCGAAACCACCCAGACGCATCCGCCACGGTCGCAGACACACAAATACATACACTGACGGTCAAACTAAATATTAATCAAGATTTTAAAATGTTTTTTTAAAGTCTTTCCTTCAGAAATCATTCTAATATGCTGATTTCCTGCTAAATTTTCATCCATTATTATTGGTGGTCAATTATTAATAATGATTCTTAGTGTTATCAATAGTTTTGGCTGCTATAATGTTTTTATAATTTTTTGTGGAAACAGTGATAACATTTATTTTCATTATTCTTTGATGAGTAGAGAGTTCAAATGAAAATAATTTATTTGAAACAGAAATCTCCTGTAATATTATAAATGTCTATAACTGTCACATTTGATGAATTCAATGCAAATCATTGCAGCTTTAAAAAAAATCTTATTCATTTGAATGGGAGTTTCCACAAAAATATTAAGCAGCAAAAACAGTTTTCAATAAGAATTTTTTTCTTGAGCAGCAAATCAACATATAAAAAAAAGTTCCTCAAAATTAACATATAACTTAAGATTTGACAAACAGCACACACAAATCATATGGACCACTTTTATGGTGCTTTTTTTGTTGTTGTCATTTTTAGAATTTAACAGCTAGTCTCATTTACTTGCATTGCAAAATGCATAAAAATATAAAAAATATATATTTAAATTTCAGTCCACAGGCTTTAGAATATTTGTTTTCTGTATTCTTCTGAAGCCATACCCAAAAGTCAATATTTTCAGCCCTCAAATCTTATTTACATTTGTGCACAACTCATATAAATTAAGTTCCTCGTATGAATTGAACATATGACTTGAGAACATTTGAAAAACAGCACAAAACACCATTTTTATGGAGCTTTTTTGTTGTCATTTTTGGAATTCAACAGAGTCTGTACTTTCATTTTACAGAAATAGCAGAAATAACAAAGTTCGAAATGACTTGTCCATGCTGCCGTTTTCCATGCAATGCAGAAAATGCATTAACAAAATATAAAAACATTTAAATTGCAGTCCATTAGCTAGTCTTCTGAAATATTTTTTTTTTGTGATGAACAGACCTTAAAAGTCAGTATTCTCAGCTCTTAAAACTTTTCATTTGTGTGCAACTTAAAAAATATGGTATGGTCCTCAAATAAATTAAATGTCTGACCTGTGAACACTTGGAAAACACACACAAATCATATGGACCCCTTTAATGCACTTCCATGAAACTTTTATGGTGTTTTTATTATTACTATTAATATATATATATACAGTGGTGTGAAAAAGTGTTGGCCCCTACCTGTTTTTTTAATTTTTTGCACATTTGTCACACTTAAAAGATTCAGATACAAAATATAAAAACATTTAAATTGCAGTCCATTAGCTAGTCTTCTGAAATATTTTTTTTTTGTGATGAACAGACCTTAAAAGTCAGTATTCTCAGCTCTTAAAACTTTTCATTTGTGTGCAACTTAAAAAATATGGTATGGTCCTCAAATAAATTAAATGTCTGACCTGTGAACACTTGGAAAACACACACAAATCATATGGACCCCTTTAATGCACTTCCATGAAACTTTTATGGTGTTTTTATTATTACTATTAATATATATATATATATATATATATTTTTTTTTTTAACAGAAGCTGTCAACTTTCACTTCCATTTTAGTTTATACCTTGCAATTCTGACAAAAATAATAAATAAATAAAAATTGCAAGATTAATTCAGAACCAGAGAATAAAAAAGATAATTGTGACCTTTTTATTGGACAATTCTGACTTTACATCTCAAAATCTCTCAAAACTTAAACTTTACATTTGTGCACAACTTAAAAATTATGGTATGGTCCTCAAATAAATTTAATGTCTGACCTGTGAACACTTGGAAAACACACACAAATCATATGGACCCCTTTAATGCACTTCCATGAAACCTTTATGGTGTTTTTATCTAATTCTTTTATTTATTTATTTTCATTTTTGGATAGAGCTTGTCAACTTTCACGTCAATTTTAGTTTATATCTTGCAATTCTGACAAAAAAAAAAGAATTGCAAGATAAATGACTTTTTTTCTTAC